TGTAAAACTGTAATGAAGAATTTCTGATGGACAGGGCATAAACAGGAAGAAAAAGTGGAGACTATTAGTTACTAAATAGTGGGAAATGTGCGGGATTAAATAAGCTGCGCTTCTTTCTACTGCATTGTGAAATAAATGTAAGTTATTTATAATTATTATTGTTTTGTTTTGTTTGTCTCTTTTTTCTCTGTTGTTGTTATAATATTTTAACATGTTCAAAATAAAGATTTCATACAAATACAAATGATTATTATTATGATTATTATGATGTTTTACGTTGTTTTACACCGGTGCTGATTTTAATGAGGTTCAAAATCTCCAAAAGTCTCGATGTGCTTTTCAAAGTTTATACCCTAAAACTCGATTAGAAATGAACATAATTCCTAATTGACTGCGGATTAATGAGGGGAAAGGATCGGTGCTGTTGAAGAGATTTATTGGAGCGAAAGGCCGCTGGGTGTTTTTGTCCTGTCTGCTTTCCTCCCCGGGTGATGGCCGGGAACAAACAACGGCAGCCTGCAGCCTGCTGCGAGCTGTCTTTTCAGGAAGGTCGTGACAGTGAAAACTATGGCCAAATATCCGCTTCATGTGCTTCCTGCTTTGCGGTGTGATTATAGGCAATGGCATCCACCAACAGACACTCCTGTGCTCAGCTCTGACACAATATGAATGTTTGTGGTCGAAACTGCTGTCAAAGACCTTCTTATTGCTGCGCTTTTCCTAAGGAAGTTAGCCAATCCAGCCCCAAGAGACACTGAGCGAAAATACAAGTACAGGAAAGGTTGAGTAAAAATCAATTTGCGGCGAAAATGAAGGAAATGACCTAAAATGAAACGTTTTCACTGAATATGTGAGAAGTTTGTGTTCGTGCCGTTTACGCTCGGCTAATAAAGATCTGTGAAACTGGAATGATAAGCTCGTTATAATTGTGGTAATTAAGCACGCGCACTTCTGTTTGAAATATTTCGCACTCACAGTTTTTGTTGGCTTTGTGTTACTTTGTAACTTTCTGCCGTTGGCGCGCAGCGGCCTGCAGACCAAATCAGAGCATTAACGTGATCGCTGTAAATAGATGCACAGATGTGGCGGTTGGGATAGCTCGTTAATAACAGTTTCATAAAACTGTGAGTGACGGAGATCGGAACATAAGCGGGCCTGAAAGCGCGCGCACTGCGGGCTGCTTAAAATAGCCAGAGGAGGTGTGCGCGGTATTTATAGAGCACAGCTTCTTTAATCCGCTGTTCGACAAGACATATCATACCAGATGATTACAGATGATAGTAGGCGCTGGAACCAATCATTGTTCTCCTCGGGCAATCTCAGTTCGTGCTTGTTTGTCGTCTGTCTGAAAGGTCAGCTGAGTTGGGAGGACACGACTGTAGCTGCTGTTAGGAGACTTTATCTTTCTCATAAGTCCCCATTAGCTCTCTGTTTGCCTTATTTTCTTCTCGCCGCCAACCATAAAGAAAGTCAGCCACATCCTCGCGAGCCCGGCAGAGGAAGTGCAACAATATGTGAAAAACGGATCCCGGGCTATCAGAGGCCGAGTGTTTCCTGAATATGTCTGTATTGAGGATGTCGATAAAATAATCAGCAGCGTGCAGCGGGCTCCCGAGGAAGCGGCTGGCCGGGGTGAGACAGGAAAACATTTAACAGCTTCTGAAACCAGATTTACTCCTATCGACAGGCTCACAGCTTCCGCTATGAACGGAAAAAGGCCCGGCTTGTTCAGCAGCACACAGTCAGACGGTCCGCTTGTTACACTATACTTAAGAGGACCATCACTTCTGGCCTCTAACACGGCGCACAGCGTGTGTGATGGCTTCAAGCACCCCGGGAACATCATGTAAAGCAGCTTTCACGGCTCCATACTCACACAGCCGATTTCACTAATACTGCTAATAATTATTATCATAATAATAATAATAAAAGACTTGTGGTAAGCTCATGGTCAGTCAATACCCTAGAGAAAAATAACCCAACTACTTGGTGCTCAAAAGTATATGACGCACACACACACGCACAGCAGTGAAATAACAAGTGATTTAGGGCCTGGCTATGTTTTAGTCACTGGCTGACTCGCTCCTCTGATGTTTCAGAACAATGGGAGTCAGGAAAACGAGTCAAGGTTGCCATGCACCTCCCTATCACCACCAGCAGCAGCACACTGAATGGATATGCCTGCTGCTATTGTGGCCCCAAATACGTCTGTCACAATAACAATGTGACTCATGTGTGCGTGGTCGCGCATCGTGCACAAATGTTCTTGTGAGACCAAAATGAGCTGAAGGCTTCGCGAAGACGCACAAAGTGTGTCCTCGACTCTAAAGTGTGTTTAAGAGGAGCAGTGCAAGTGTAGATGATCTTGAGTTCGACATGCATGACCAAGCGTGATGCTTATGCAAAAATGGTTTCGCTGGGACTGAAACGAAGCTTGTGAAGACATTAAAGTTTTCATGCAAAGAGCAGAAAGTTGTCTTACTGCCACATCATCCAAGTGTATATGTTGCCGCGAACAGATTTCAGGTTCACCCAAATTGTCACTGAGCGATATAATGTCCAATAATATAGGATTTATTCATTTTACAATGCAAATTGTGAATATATGACCTTAACTATTTTAAGGGTCCTGATTTCCAGTGAAATAAAACCAGCAGTGCAGACTTGAGGAACTGAGTTTAACTGGCGCATTTCCACACAGGAAAACAAGAAACGTGATGCTGGCTGTCTGACGGTAAGGCAGCAGAAAAGGAGAAAATGGATATGTTTGCTAACAAATGATAAGACCAATATCAATGATGGAAATGAAATGGAACTCACCGAGAGGGTCGTGCCTGAGCAGCGCCTGTGCGTACTCCCCCATGGAGCGGTGGTGTTGCTGGTGAAACGGGTAAAAGGAGCCGGTGAAAGCCCCCGCCGAGGCGTACGTCGCCGTCAGCGCAGCGTGGTGGGACAGCGCGGGGTGGATCGGCGTGGGTTCATAAATCGGGGTTCTGTACGGCGAGATCAAACTTTTGAAGGACGAGTTGGGAGACGGGAGAGTCGGCGTGGGGATGACCGGAGTGGAGCAGGAAGATGAAGACGTTGGCGATGAAGAATAGGACGGAGATGTGGAGGTGGTGGTGGAGGTCCTCCCCAGAATGTCCTCGATGTAGAAGGGGGTCGGGTGTGCCGGCTGAATTGGGGTCGGTGCGTAAAGCGGGACGCTCATGATGCCGATCACCGCTGCTGCGCACTGGATCCAAACTAGGGGAGAGCTTCGCGTCTTTAGTCCCGCAGCCTTCCTCTTTCTATCACAGCAACTTTTTATGAGCCGCGCTAACCTCTGCTCAGCCAGTCCCGAAACACAACGACCAGAGCCTGTTTCCGAGCTGCTCGGGAGACCGTTACACTGTTTTAGTGTCCATCAGGTTGCTGAGGAGCTGCCACTCTGTTCAACTGTTGCTGCTGTTATCTGTCTGCAGCCGAAGGAGGGAGGAGATAAGTGGACGGCCAACTTCCTGCAGGTGGCCGGCGGCCGTTTCTGATTGGCTTGCACGCAGTTCTTAACGAACTCCACAGTGGTCGGATGACAGGAGAGGGGAGATAATTGTGTTTCAGAAGAATCGACGCGACGCAAACAGGTAATCAGAAAACAGACGAATGTAATGGAACAGAGCCGGCGCTGAGAGTAGCTGGGTCTGAAAATGCAAGTACGGGCCCGCTCACACTTCAGCCTCCTCACGGTCACACTCCTAAGAGTGTACACCGCCCATAATGTTTGAGTAAAAGTCACACTCCTACTCAGCTCAAAACTGTTTGCATTTACCCAAAGCACCTCAATCAAAACTTGCATGCAAAATCATGTTACTGGATCATGGCCGAATAATGAGTGAACATCCGTTTATTGTTGCAGTATCTGCATGCTGCTGTGTCATATATGTATTAGCACAGTGATATGTGTAACTCGGCACAATAAGAAATACGTTTTCACATAAATGAAATATAAGAGCACATGCACTGTTACACAGCAGGAGCGTCCAGCGTTTTCGTGACCTTGTCTGTTAGCAGTCTGAGATGATTTAATGGTAACTTTGAGGAGATTTTGCATTAGAGCCGGGCTTTCAAAGAGAAGATACGTGTGATTTGAAATGATAGTTCTCACTGGTTTTGCTCCAGGAAGTATCATGTCACAAGTCAGCGGATTGGCCCACGAGGGTAGCTGTCCAAACTGTTTAGGTTGTCCCAGCCAGAGATCGGTATCATTGCTTTATGCAAAAAGACATTCCCCGTGGTTTGGCACCACGCTGAAGTGAGACAGTTAGGCAAAGAGCGCGATGATGCACTTGTGTGAATAACATTTCTTTGGCAACATTGTTTTTAAAAATGTTGAACAAATGTTGAATGTCAGATGGAAAACCCACGTGAACAGAGCACAGACAGCACGCAGCGCTGCTTTTATACCCCCACACACACCTTTGTGTAGCCAAACGGGCCGCAGCCTTATCTTAACAGTGTAATAGAGGCCGACTGCGATCCACGGCCCCAACGTTGCAGCTCAATCAAGTGGGATTAACTCCTGATTTGAATGTTTGGTGTTTTCCTGTGAAATCCACTGTGGGATGAGATAGCAATAAACGCTCGTGTATGTAACGGCTCACTAAGTGATTGGATGTTAAACAATAACCGGAGACTTCTGCTTTAGTCACAGCGGGGCCCAGCTGCACGCGCGCAGGGCCTCGCGACATTTTATCGTCACACGAGTTCATTAATCGTCGCTGGAAACGGCGACTCGCACCTGGGAGCCGGACGACGCGTTTATCTGCTCGCTCCCCGAAACCAGCCGCCGGCTCGATTTCCTGGCGCGCGCCCCCGTCTGCCAACTTTCTAACGGCTGTAATTTAGATAAAGTGGAGCAAACAGCCTTAAAGACATCAAAGACATCCACAAAACGGCTAATATTTGGACTGAGACAATCATTGCAGCTCATTGATCCGGCCAGCCTCCCGTGGCGTCAGACTCCGGGCCAAAAACCGCTGATAACTCGAGTGAGCCGCCCCCCGGCAGCTGGCGCCATATATCTGCCATTGTCAGTCTCCTCCTCACGAGTCAACAGTATCCCGATTATCAAACGCATCGGGATGTGCCCGGCCTTCCTTTGTTCGAGTTTGGAATGACCGAGGAAACGTAACCATGAGAAACGGCACAGAGCATGCGCTATGGAAATGAAGCAGCAGGTGATACTCGGAAAATTAGAATAAGTATAACCATGCATACGCACTCTGTACTTGGTTTGGGCCCCTTTTGCATGAATTACTGCCTCGATGCAGCGTGGCGTGGATGCTATCAGCTGTGGCGCTGCTGAGGAAGATTGTGGCCACACTTTGCACGATATTTGAATTCCTCGAGTTTCACCTGTAGATGTCTTCATTGTAGTGGGAAGCTTAGAGGCAAAGAAATAACAGTCCACGCGTGTCCAGGGGGCTTTTTTACTTAATCATGTGCATCACTGCACTGAGCAGGACTCAAGGAAGACTTTGGAAAAGACATTTTTACAACAGTGAACTAAACCGAGGCAGCCGATGAAAACAAATCAGATCCTAAACTTACAACAAAAACTTCACAGGTGTTCGGTGCCACAGACACTGATCTCGCCGTTCCCTCGCAGCTCCTCGCCGATCGTACGATCAGGTTATTTACTCTTCACAAATCTGTGCAGGTCCAGCAACATGGTAACCTGCTGAGTCTCCTTTGCTCCCGTTTCTCATTATATGACTGTTTGCTTTACAACTTTTAATGTAAGGTGTCATGATGTTCAAACTTTAACTAAAACTGAAGAGTATGAACCAAAAATCAGTCTTTACATGAAAGGAAACCCCTTCCTCTTCCCTCCGCATCCTGGTCCCGGTCAGGTGACTACCTTCTTTGGCTTCGGATGGTCCTCCTCCGGGTCTCCCTCTGAGCAGGTCTTCAGCGAGCGCAAGACGTGTTCCAGCGTCCACTGCTCCTCGTGTAAGGCGTGCTCCTCCAGAGTGAACGGACCCTGCTTTGTTCTGACCAGCTCCTTCACATGAGCGCAAGAGGACAGAGCTGCAGCACACAGACAGCGTTACTCAGCAACACGCCGTCGATGGAAAGGTGAAACAGGTGGAAGGCAGTCTCACCTTTTCCCAGGTCATCCACCAAACTTCTGACATAGAACCCACCACCACACTCAATATCTGCAACACGAAGGAAAGCGAAACATTCAGCCAAAGAGGACACAACACCTAAAAGCCTGTTGTGTGATGCAGCGTGTCGAACCCAGAGTGAAGAGAGGAGGCTTGAACTCCTGCAGGGTCAGGCTGTACACCGTGACGGGCCTGGCCGGTTTGGCATCGACCTTGTGACCTTTCTTCAGCAGGACAGACAGACGTTGGCCATCCTTTTTTAATGCCGAGTATCTAAAACGATTATAAGAAAAGAGTTGGTTACAAAATACACACATTTAGCACCAAGAACTGTTTTTATATGAACTCCATGTATAATGACACAAAGGCACTGCTTCCTGCATCAGTGGGAATCAGCACTGCAGTGAGCAAACAGTGACCTCCAGAGGCTTCATAGGTCACTGCGCTACACTAATAAGACGAAAAACCCTCAAATGTTTAAAGAACTGGACCATTGAGAGGCCTTTCATTCATTCTCCCAGGGGACACGGACGGCATTAAAGGACACACGATCGGTTTACTGCAGCTGGACATTTAGATCTCAGAGCCTCTTCACACAGAACTGGGTCCACACATCACTTCTTAGCCTTTACAACAATTAGTCATTACAGCTCTCTGATCATATCATTAACCTGTAACATGCCATCAAACTGGCTGCACATTCAAAGAAAACTGGTTTCAGTTCAGCCACTTGTTGAAGCCTCTGGCGTCTACTGCAGCGTGTTGTGCGCTCTGCCGTGAAGGCGATTGGCTGCAGACTCCCATCTCTGCAGGGCCTGTGCACCTCCAGCACACTGGGGCGTGCAGCTGGGATCTCAGCTGACCCTTCTCACCCTGGACTCAGTCTGTTAGACCTGCTCCCCTCAGGCAGGAGGCTCCGGCCCAGTCGCACCAGAACCTCATCATAAGAACAGTTTCTCCTCTGCTGTTGGACACATGAACAGTAACATAAGACTGGTCCCACCCCAAACACATGGCCCCATACTTCTCTGCATCTGTTCCACTTTTGCACTCATGTATATATTAATCAGCTTAGCACTTTTCATTTTTATGTTTATTTAAGTGTTTGCCTTCATTTCCTAATGTTGGAAAGCTGCTCAACATTTGGCAATAAAACCTTTTCTGATCTTTGCTTGTGTGGACTCAAAATGATGACACGGCTAATGTCCCTCAGAAAATGGAAACAGCTTCTCCACACATGGATGTGTAGGCCTACTTTAACAATCACACTCATTTTGTGGTTCCCTGATTTGAATTTTCCTGCTGCATCAGCCAACCTGGCACATTCCTGGAAGCGTCTGTGATAAAGCTGGTGAACCGTGCAAAGCTGTCATCGCGCCTCTGAGTTCAATTCATGCACCTTCATGTAAGGTAAGCATCGAACCACTGCACCACGGAGCCACTAAATGACTGCAACCCCCAAAAAGGAAGCTCACATGAGCCCCACGTTTATGCATCGACCATCAAATCCAACACCATCCCAAACAAGCGCAGTAACAGAGGACGTGAAGTCCTGAGCTGCTGCTCGGAAAGTTTAGGTTTCGTTTTCTGTAAAAGAAGATTTCATCTTAAGAAATAAACGTTTCGTTTGATCTAACTAAAGCTTCAGACGTTTGGATGTTGACTCACAGCGGAGGCACTTGCATGATGTCACCAGTGAAAGCTTTCAGCTTTTCCTCGACGTCCAGCCTGGTTATGTGTTCTAGAAAATGTATGAAAACATGACTCACTGAGAGACAAGACGGTAAAGGAGAAAGCGAAGTTTGCAGATTATCCTGCTGTGTCGATGGATCTGAAAGATCGAATTTACCAAAACCTTTCTCCAGAGTCACGCTGCCGGTGGCATCAAGAGTGTCAGTTGCTTTTCCAAACTCTCCAACGGCAACGTATTTCTGAAAAACACACAGCATGTGTCACGTTTGTGTCACACCAAGTTCATCCACAGTTAACAAGTTACAGGAATCATTCATGCATTTGTCATCGCAGACATCTAAAGTTCACGAGGCGTTCGGGTCTGTTCAGAAGCTGTATTGTATACATGCTACACAATGTCCTTATCAATAGATTTGCATGTATACTTGTACCTAAAAAAAAGTGCTTCTCTACACACGCAGAGGTTTGTGTTGTGGTTTCTAACAGCTCGTTAGTACCTGTTAGATCTGTTACCATGAAAGCAGGAACAGACCAATCAGCACGTATCGACACAATGCTAGAAGTTCATGGGGGAAAGGACTTCACTGTGACACAAACTAAAGGACGCGTCGTTTTATTTGGAACATGTCAGTGTGCATCTGCTAAACCAACATGTTTGGCTTCATCCAGGTGACGACATACGGTAGAGTCAAGAGCCTGGCTGTGCTCGTCAGCATGCACAATAAACAACAATCAGACACGCGCAGCAGTGCAGCTCTAACCTGCATTCATGCCTCGCACTTTTCACCAGACGTCAAGGTTTAATGCACATTTTAGTTTAGTTCAAACAGCAGTGAAGCAAACTGACCTTTGACCCAGTCAACATTGTGCTGAGCATTTTGGTGCCGTTCCCAACACCAACAACTGAAACAAAGAGAGTCCAATGATTAAAGTCCTGCTAGCGCCCCCCACAGGTTGAAGTGTTCACTGAACTCACTTTTAATTCATTCATCAAAGTTCACCAAACTCAGAATACACTGAAACATTTATATTTAGTGCTCATCTTCGTGCTTTGTTAAGTTGATAACAAGCTTTATTCCCTTCTTCATGACATCATCACCTGAGACTTTGCAAGCAGCAGTGAAGCGGCTGCTTTTCCCTCAGACTGACCCAACATCACCTCAAGGTCCAAGGTTCTTTATTATTTGTCACATGCATAGTTATACAAGTATAACACACAGTGAAATGTAGCTGACTGACTGAACAGCTTTTCTTATGCTTACGGACGAGGTGGAGGCGTGCTCTCGTCTCGCTGTGCTGCGGGGCGCAAATCAGACAACACGGCATCGTGCTGCAGGATGTTGTAGCAGCCATGCTGGTTAAGAGCCGTCTTCCTTGGGCGAGACGCTTCACCCGTTGCCTACTGGTGGTGGTCAGAGGGCCCGGTGGCGCCAGTGTCCGGCAGCCTCGCCTCTGTCAGTGCGCCCCAGGGTGGCTGTGGCTACAATGTAGCTGCCATCACCAGTGTGTGGCTGTGTGTGTGACTGGATGTGTAAAGCACTTTGGGGTCCACAGGGACTAGAAAAGTGCTGTACAAATACAGACCATTTAATTCAACCACAGTGAATTAATTTTTCCTAAAATTATGGGTGTGGCCACTTTGCCAGACGTACCAGCACAATCAGCAGGGTTGTCTGGCAGGTTCATCTCTGCTAACTGGAGTCACTGGACCGGCCTCCTGCACTTTTAGCTGCATAGGTGCTTTATAAAACACTTTAATAAAGACAAGAACTACAGTTGGGCTCATAGGTTATAAGGAAAATCGAGTCCTATGATATCATTGTTCAACGACAGTGGTTTAACTTGCATTTGAAGGAGGCCATCATTGATTTAAAAAGCACAAAAACAAAATACAGCTATCAGAGAGCAAATTACCAATGTAGTCCATTCTTAAAAAGATGGAAGCACGGGCCGCCCAGAAACACCTAAAGGCCCAAAAAACACTGAAGAAAATTTAAATGAATTCTTCATTTGAAGAAATAAAAATCCTGACAAAACATCGACTCAAGTCCCAAAAACAGTCGAAGAGCTTGGCCTGTCATTGTTAAAACCTACACCATGGTGCAAACCACTGGTTACACTCAAGACCAAGAAGGCCGGACTGCATCTGCCAGGAAACATTTAAAAGTCACAGTTCTGGAGAAAAAAATCCCACGTTGTCAGGTGAAACTGAGATAAATTTGTACAAAAACGATGGCAAGACAAAAAGTATCCAGAAGGAAATGAAGCATTATCTGTCAAACATGCTGGAAGCAGCATTATGGGCTTGTATGGCTGCCAGTGGAACTGTGCCACTTAAAGATGGTGTGACTGCTGACAAAGCAGCTCAGAGTTAGACAACCTGGGACAGCCTGTTCTACACTGCAGAAATGCAGGAAAAACACCTGATAGGTCTAACGAGGTGCCCATACACACTGAAGCTGTTTCCACTGGCACCTTGATGGAAGTGAGAGAGAAGGAAAGACAGGAGTGTGGAGGTGCTGCCTGAACATCATCTGTGATATCAGTACACCTCTCCAAGGTTGTGTTAAAAGTCCACCGGCCTCGCTCCTACACAGGTGGGTCATCTGGACCATTCCACTCTTCATAGAGGATGACGGGCCAGCACCAGGGGTACACTGCTTATGAGCAACATAGCTATATATCAAAACAATAAGATCAGATTTCATGACTTTACTATATTTTATCCATTGAAAAACAGCAAGCATGTTGTCATAGAAAATGCAGGAGTCACGATGTCGCGGACTTTCCCAGGACACGCGTGGGAAGAAAAATGTGCAAAAGAAAAGAAAATGCACCTGTTACAGAAAAATGTTAAAGTCTTGAAAAAACAACTTCTAGACAAACGACAGTGTACGTCTCAGGGATTTGAGATTGTTATCAACATACATCTATTTGATCTTAATAGTGAACTCTGTATAAAACGCCCCCAGACATGCATGACTGGAGCAGACTGGAGCAGCCCTGGAGGTCGGGCCCTGCCGGTGCTTTACCGATAATACCAGTAAACACGGAGGGTGGGACTGACCCCCTCTCCCCCCTCCTCCCAGGGCAGGAATGACAACAGTCGCACGTGGCCCAGCACCGGGACGTGAGCGCTAGCCTAGCCGCTTACCCAGCACCCCGCTGGCAGCGCTGTCCAGCGTCCCTCCGTGTCCCATCTTCAGGCTCTGGTTCTTCCTCTTCCGCGGGTTTGGATTTTTGACTCCCGCCTCTGAAAGATAAAGCGACACAAACGGTTTACGGTCAGCTTTCCGCAAACACCGGGCTGGACGTCCTGCTGCTGTTTGGTCCCGTTACCCTTGAGCAAAGCTTCCTTGAGTACATTTAACACGTCCGCGGAGGTCGGCCCTTGTTTTTTATATATCGCAAACAATCCGTTTAACGCCTGTAGTTGCGACAAAGAACTAGTTATCGCAGGGACGGTGCTACTGACGCTCCCGGACATGCTCGTTTCTCTTTTCTTTGGCTAATGTCCATCTTCTTCTTTTACCCTCAGTGGCAACTATGCGACCCGTTGTTGTCTTTACTGCCCCCTGCTGGTTGAGCAAACACTCCGTCTTCCTTCTGCATGAATAACATTATTAAACAACACGACGCTTAACAGCCTTCTGTTGTTGAAGATCTGTTTAAGCAGTATTACAGGCAGTCTTCGCCCATCCTCACACAGATCAGGCCTGATAAAAACCAACAAGCAGTTAGATAAATAAAGATTTTTTCGAAACTACGTTGACCAAAATGCTTTGCGCCAAACACTTCCTAGTTACTCTGTGCCCTGGTTTCCTTCTTCTGTCAGCTGGTCGAGCTACGACAACAATAACTGTCAGGACGACAGTTTTGGTGGAGGTCTGTGTTTTTATCTTAACCTGTAATTATTATTTTGATCGCTAGTCACGACATCCGGTTTAAACGCCTCCTTACTTTGATCATCGGTTGAAGATTTGATTGTCCCGCGCGAGCCTCTGACTCGCGTGGAGATAGCTCCTCGCGTCACTTTCATTCAAAACTGGCTGCTCAGCGTGGCTCTGCCTGTTACAAGCTACCATGTAAAATACACGTCAGTCCGCTCTAAATGCACACAGCTGTGCGGGCTGGTCGCTGCAGTGGTTACGGTTGAGTCAGTGTCGTGTGATCGTCAATTCTTTCTTAAATTCAGCAAAAGCTCGGCGTTTTCGTTATTGATTAATGCGTTTATCTTTGATGCAAAGAAAATCAACAGCACATGTATAGATAGCAGCAGTAGCAACTTTTGTCTCTCCTTCTTTTCACCAGTTGGTCTGAGGACGGAAAGCTCTGCTCGTCAGATGATCAGGAGTCTGCAGAGCCTGGATGGAGGATTTCAGGCGGATATACCTCCGTCTGTGTAAGGAGGGAGGCGTGGAGCCTCAGGAGGGTGTTGTAGCTCAGCTCCAGGAGAGCAGGTCTGCTCAGGGCTCCAGACTGGACCTGAGTGGACAGAGCCTGTCTGCAGATACCTGCTCAGTGCTGGCTAAGGCCTTCCATAAGGATACTGTCTTTACTGAGGTGTCACTCAGTGACTGCATGCTCAGCGAGGAGGGTGCGTGAGGACAGTCTTTATGTAATGTGGAGAATTATACAGTATGTGCAAGTGTATGGTGCTCGTTGATGTCAACGATGCAGTGAGGTGGCCCTGCCCGAGTCACTCTGCTGCGGCACGTCTATTTAGCGTACTTTAGTCAGTCTGATGATTGATAAAACTATCAGAGCGAGTGTGTTAGGCTACATATCACACAGATGCTGTCAACAAAGTCCTTTGGTTCTGATCCTGAACACATCTTCACATTTACAGAGTTTTCTCTGCTTGAATTAGAAGGATAAATGCAAGCAGTCTTTTTTAAATGCTACAAACAAACAGAGAAATGGAGCACATTCATATAGATCTTTTCTCATTAGCATAATAAACCACATTTGCTGCTCTGGTAAATATTGTGACTCAGGATGTGTTAGTCACTGTGCTGTGTGTGACTCTCAGGTGCCAGAGTGCTCCTCAGTGGACTGCTTGACAACACGACTGTCAAAGTCCTGGATCTGAAGGTACCAGCTCCCAAATTAGACTCTCCACACACGGTGACACTAGTTTTATCTTATTGCACAATATCTGTGTGTCCTTAGGTTGTGTTTTTATTGTTCACAGGGGAATAACCTGAGATCATCAGGAGCTGAGGTGCTGGGACAGTTGTTGGCACAAAACAAGACGCTGCGCAGGTAAGACTCATGCTTTTCCTGTCTGTGTGCCATTTCATTTCTTTCCCTTATGGAGGTTAATAGTTGTGTAGCACCGGTTTACAACTACAGATCGTAAGCTGTCTTTTAACAGCGGGAGACCTGTGAAAGCCCACAGGCTGAGTGTAGAGACACACAGACACTTTAGTGATCACACAGAATATTTAGTTGTTGAGTTAACCACACAAAAACCGCTGTAGTCACTTCTGTTTTTGGTGAGAAACACTCTGGCACTTTGTATTTCACCACAAATGAGTTTCAATCAAACAACCAAGATGTGAACAAAAATATTGCATTTGTGGGAATTAAAGCGATTTTCAAACACCTGACATGAAAGTAAGAGCAGACAGCCTGTAGTGTGGGACATCATACTGAAAACAAAACAAACCCATCAGAGAGACAGCAGAAACGTGACCCAGTCGTATCACGCATTTCTGATCATTGCAGGAACCTGTCAGCACATAGTGTGAGCACTGAAGAGTGTCCCTAATTAACTGGCAGTGTTTGGTTTTTGCAGGCTGGTGCTGGAGTGGAATGCGTTGGGCGTGTGGGACGAAGCTTTCTCGCTCTTCTGCAGCGGTTTAGTTTCCAACTGCGCGCTGACGCAGCTGGACCTGCGCAACAATCAAATCAACCACCATGGAGCGTCGGCGCTCGCTCTGGCACTCAAACGCAACAGCACACTGGAAGTTCTAGGTGACTCTAACTGGTTAACGTCATGTACCGTGTTGTTCGGTAGAGAACAGCTTTGAAGAGCAGCCTCCGTCGTATGGCAGCATCATAAGTTTAGGTTGTAGAGGCTGCTGTTGTCCTCAGCACATGGTCCATGCTAACTCCTCTTACCTCTCTCAGATCTGAGGTGGAACAATATTGGTCTGCTGGGAGGCAGGTCCATGCTGGAGGCACTTCAGAACAACAAGAGCATAGTGCAGCTGGAGATGGCTGGGAACAACATTCCCAGTGACACGCTGAAAGCTCTCGGTAAGTCCTACCTGAGCTCGTAACGCTAGCAGTATGGCTTCGTTAGCGTTACTATAACATGGTCACGCCATCTTTACCTTTCAGAGCAGGCCACAGGGCACAACTCAGACAGGCGGTCCACCCTGAGGGAGAGTCGCAGCCGCACACAGGTCCTCAGCAAGGAGATTCAAACACTGAAGGAGGAGAAGGGCCGGCAGGTAACCTCGCATTCCCGAACTGCAGACACCACAGGTCAGCCATTCACCTCCAAGAAACATTTCTCCCAGAGAAGCGATCAGAAGTCTACAACCTGTCTGAATACGGGACTTCTGATCCTCCCAGCACTTGCACCACCAGTAGGAAATCCCAGTGCATGCACTCTTGTTGCTATAGCCCACTGTGGTTACAGATCCACAGACCACAGGATGGATTCTGTAAAGGTTTATTTTCTGTGTAGTGATGCACCTTTATTTACTTTTCCAAAGAGACAAATGCAAACAGATCAATGTCAAAAAGCAATTTGCACTCGAGAGGTGAGTGCAGCTGTTTCTCATCACGTAGTGGACACACAGCCTAGTTCCAGCTCAGTGTCCATACCAAAGTGAATCCCATAAATAGCCAAGACACACATATCGGTACAAATCAGGTTAACGTTTGGACTAAGCTGATAACGGTGGAGCGAGGGTTGAGGGAGTCTGATATCTTCACGGTTGTCTACACAAATTTGTAACGTGTAGTCAGATATTTCTGTGAGTCATAATGAACCACAGTAATGTCCAATAACCTACTCAGATTAAATGCAGTTTTTTATTTCTAACTTTTGTTTCAGTTCCTGAGCCTGATGGAGACCATAGACAGGCAGAGGGACGAGATGGGGCGCTCCAGTAGGTGAGCGGTGACTCTGTGGCCAATAGCCTGGAAGATGGTGTGTGGGGACACCTGCATCCTCTTATGATTCTGTGACTTTCTCTCTGTCGTCAGGTCAACCTCCAGTCAGATCGGCCAACTCCAGGAAGCTCTGAACGAGAGAAAGTCCGCTGTCAACTCTCTCACCGCAAAGTAATCGTTTCCTCCTCCGTCAGTCCTCGTCCAGCAAACGGCTGTGTGAGAAGACAGCTGCTCGTATATGTGGCTGCTGCAGTCATACAAGAAGAAAGCACGAGGATCACTTTATATCAGGAGACTTGGCACTCAAAAAAATGCTGAAATCCACGGAGAGTTCTAAGCCCCTCCCCCAGTTAGCCAGTCGTGTCGTGCTGCCGCGTGTGAACAATAGGTTGTAATGCTGTCAAACTGTACGTGTGCCCAGCAGGTGTGGAGTAACGTGTCCCAGGAAAGCTCTTTACATAAACTTTGTTACAGAGTCACAGAACGTTGTTTGTTTTTGACGTGTGGGTTTGAGTCCCACTGAGCACTGAAGTGATCGTTGTCCAAATAACTGCCTGGATTTCGTTTACAATCTAGCAGAAACGCAGGGTTCTGACTTACTTCAAGGTCACAGCTTTCAAATGCTGTGGATACATCTGGAAAAACACAGCACATGCAAAAATGCCCCCAGACATCTTGCAACTGAAGGATTTTTGCATGAAGCCACGGCCAAAAAAGTCAGCAAGCTGAGGAGAGCGGTGGACAGTTATGCAAAAGGCAGAGGAGTTATTTCTGCCAGCAGAGAACAAGAGAAACAAGAGGGAGTCCCGCCCTCCTCTCCTTCTAACCAACACCTTTATTATGAGCCACTCTGCAAACGCAGAAGCTCTGATGCGTTAGGACACTGGGATGATCGATGACGATTATGGTTTCCAGTATCCCAACATGATAGCAGTTCTTTGTTTGTCCTATTTTCATGACAGCGATGTCATTCTGAGGAAGTTTGCAGGAAAGTCTCGAGACTTGGCACAGACGTCAGTTTGGACAAAGGATTAGCTGATTCGAGTTTGGTAGTCAGAGATTAAAGATCGGTGTAGCCGGGGCCTCAAACATGCGTTTAACAGCATCATCTGTTGTTGTGCAGGCTGCAGATGACAGAAGCTGCCCTCGCACTCTCTGAGCAGAAAAACCAAAACATGGGAGAGCTGCTGTCTCGACTGAAAGCTGAGAAAGAAGAACAGAGGGAACAACACAGCAAAGCGAGGAAGAAAGAGCACGAGGTACAGAGTGATGGCAGCTTTACCTTTAAATGGTAGGACACTCATAAACAAGCTGAAACACATGACCGGCATGTACACGCTACGTGGCCGATGAGCTCACAGAGTCAGCAGACAAATCCAGCAATACTAAAACATAATAACATCATGCAGAGCAGATGGTGTTATAGTGCTGCTGAAAGCCCAACAATGCCGTCAGCTTTCTTTTTTCGCAGTAATGTTCAGTGACCATAGAGACAAAAAGGAGGTTTGACACTGGTTTGTGAGGAATAATGGATCCAGTCCTGCTTTAAAAGTGGCTGCATGACCACATCACATAGAGACAATGGAGCCGAGAGCCTGAGGTGGAGAGAGTCAGCTGCTTCTGCTGGTGAGAATAAACAGTGATGATGTTTGCTGCTCACAAAACAGCAAGACAGTGGCTCCTCTTCCTAAGGTGGCTGAGGAGGACTGGCACAGACGGACATATCACTCCTTCTGTCATCCAGAGTACTCTGTGTGGCTGCATCGATAGGCTGAAGCGACAGCAGGTCTGTCCCACCTATAGAGTCTTCACACTCCTGCTGTGGGCAAGTGTTAGTGGAGCATCCACACCTGAAGCAGCAGCAGTTATACAGCAGTGGAAGTTTCAGTCCACAAACCAGCAGCTGCTGAACTGATGAGAACCCAAACTCTCACTTCACCCGCAAACCAAACTCACTCTACAAACGAGTTGATTTAAATTGCACATAATTCACATACCCCAGAACATTTATGTGCATGCACACTACTGCAGACATTTGATTTGATTTGATTGAATCTTTATTTTGAACATGTTGAAAAAGTACAACAAAATAGAATTAAAAGAGACAAATGAACAAAGCAAAACAAAAGGAAAACGAGCAACCACAACTCCAAATAA